ATGGATCTGGCCAGAAGCTATGGGAGCCTGCTAGGGAGGGAGCAAGAAGAGATGGAAGTAAATGGTGCTCAGGAACCTGCTTTGGTTGGGTCACAAGCATTGTGAAGGAAGGCTCCAAGCCAGGGAGTAGAACCTGCAGCCAAGCTTACTTTTTCTTCTGGATAGCTGCTACATTAGTGTTGGTTGTGCTTTTACTGTCTATCTGGAAATGATGAGCCCTTCTGCCCCTGACATGAGGCTTGCAGTTTACCCATCCTCCAGCAGCAACCATGCCAAGGTGGGAACCAGCTGCCAACCACAAGCCACAGGCAATGCTCATGCCTAATTTCTTGAAGCATGAGGTGAGTACATCTATCTTTGCCACAGCAGTTTAACACATCATACTGATTCATTCTTGATATTGACTGTTAATACTTGTCATAGTGCATGACTCTAGCTCTGTTCACATTGAACATGCATACACATGTTCACAATGAACGCCTGTATATCCTGCATGGGGACCAGAACTGGATGTGGGTTTTAAATCACACATTCATTTGTTAATGTATTTAATATAACTTGAATAGTACTCCACAAATGTATAAAGCGCACACTAACTGGATTGTGCAGATGTTTACTGCAACCTGTGAACAGTAGCGCCCTCTTAACATTTAGTGCATGGAGGAGATGCTGTTGGCCATCTTTTGGGCTAGGAAAGAACTTCGGCAAGAAGATCTCTGAGCTGAGATGGAACTCGGAGACCACTTTAGGGAGGAAAGAGAAGTCAGGCACCAGTCTTGCGCCATCCGGTAGGAAGACGAGGAAGGGTGGGTCATAACGAAGGGCCACAAGTTCACCTACCCTACTGGCCGAGGTAATGGCGATGAGAAAGGCAGTTTTCCAGGCAGCATAGTTGCCATTGGCTCAAAGGGTCGGCCTATCAGATGGCGCAGCACCAGCAACAAGTCCCACAGAGGTACCGGCGAACAGATAGGCAGATGTAAGTGGAGCAGACCCTTCAGGAATTTCTTTGAGATCGGGTAAGAGAAGACAGAGAGACCCTTGATACCTGAATGGTACGCAGAAATAGCCAACAAGTAACTCTGATGGAGGAGTGTGAAAAGCCCTTTTCCGCCAGCGAAATAAAAAATTCCAGTACAAGGTCCAGCTCCACAGAAGCCGGAGGTACATCTGAGGGCTGTAAGAAGGCTAAGAAATGAGCCCACTTCCCGCTGTAGGAATGTTGGATAGAGTCCTTCCTGGCATTGAGTAACACGGTAGTAACTTTGTCTGAAAATGTCAAACTTCCACGAGATAAGCTGTTAGTCTGAGCTTGTGGGCCTTGTGGAACAGAAGAGTGCCATTCCCCACTAGGAGCAGATCTGGCACCTGTGGAAGGGGATGGCAGTCTCTGGTCAGCAAAAGGATTTGTAGAAATCAAGGCATCCCACCTGTGACTTATGGAGAGGCCGTTGAGGTGGGCTCCCCATCCCCACAGTGAGGCATCGGTTGTGAGGGTGAGACCAGGAGTGAGGGACACCCCATATCAGGTAGTTCGTCAGTGTCCACCAGAGAAGGGAGTCGCGTGCTTCCTGTGACAGAGAGACAAACCAACTGGCTCATTCGTAGGGGCTTGAAGTGCTTTAGGAACCAGAGCTGAAGTGGATGCATTCGCAGTCTTGCAAACTGAAGGACTGCAGTCGTAGCTGCCATGAGGCCCAGAAGGCGCTGAACGTGGAAAGCAGACAACGTGTCGACTTCTGGTTTAGCGGCGCTGCGAACGGACGGGTTTAGGATCTTCTCCGACCCGCCCGGCTCCTCTTCGTTCGTTTTGGAGCTCCCCGTTTGTGTGGAGGAGCTCTGCTTCACTTCCTGGAGGGAGGTGAAGTAGCAGGGGGCTTTGCCGCCCCCTCCCCATTGGTGGCAATCACGGGGGGTGATGCTGGTCTGCCCTGAAGCAGGAACAAAGATTTGGAAGAACATGGTTCCCATGTTCTCTGAGCAGCGACCAGCCGTTTTAAAGTAATGCTAAGCAAGTGGCATTTCATGCAAACGGTATCTTCTCGCGTATTTTTTTCAAGAGATTGGAGACTTTGATTTAAACACCCCTTCAGTTATCCCCAGCTATCTAGTGAGAGCGGCTATGAAGAGTAAGTGGGAATGTTTGTTGTGAAGAAACAGAGAAGTGGGGTCAGGAAAAAGAAAAACGTCTGCCCGACTTTAAAGTATTTGCTAATTAGTGTGAGAGCAGTGGGAAAATGCCAAAAGGAATCTGTGGAATGCTGTGCCAAAAGAACTGTGGAATTTAACTAAATGGTGTTTAACCATGGTTCAAAGTAGGTCGGGGACTGTGGTCTTAAGTCCCGCCTGGGCGAATAGGAAAGCCTGGATCTGGAATGACCATACTCAGAACACTCCTCCGATCGATATCGATGCTCCCCATGCCGAGGGGATCTAGATCTAGAACGACAGTAACAAGAGTCCGGTCCAGATCAGTCGCTAGCCACGATGATGCCAGTTTGGTGTAGTGGTTAAGTGTGTGGACTCTAATCTGGGAGAACCAGGTTTGATTCCCCACTCCTCCACTTGCACCTGCTGATGTGACCTTGGGTCAGTCACAAGTTCTGGCACAGCTGTTGCCCTGCAAGCCTATCAATGTGTTTTTATGAACTGTGCAAAGAAACTGTATAATATGGAGACCTGGGAATACCTGTTAAGACTGCACACCTGAAAGAGGGACACCTTCCTTTAGTGTTGCTGCCACAGTGATAGTCCAGTCACCAGACAACTCACCTGCTGTGAGATGAAGCAGTTCCATAAGCCTGTACACAGCCTCAGATGCCATGCCATGGAAAGGCACAAGGATAGAGAACTTCAAACTCCATTAGGAGTTTCTTCAAGCACATGTAGGCAACCCCCCCTCCTCCAAACCTGCAAAGCTGCATGTAGCTCTGAGATTCCAATAATAGTTGTTTAGCAACTAATTGCTCAACCATCAGCCAGCCAGCTAGGACCATCAAGAGACAATAGCCCTAGCCTGATTATTCAATCATTCTTCATCCAGGTGCCAGTCCTCAGTCTAAGTTTCTAGCTCTCAATATTGACCACTCCGTACCCCTCCCCTCTTCCAGCCAGCCAATAGTATGTTTTATGGGACAGACTAACAGAAGGTGTCACTGGAGGATGTGGCCAGCCTAGCCTGCCCCCCCACACCACGTTATAAAAGATGCTGGCCGACCACATGGTCTCTCTCTCTTACCCTCTCCACAACCCCTATCAAAGCTTTAACCCTCTTATGTCCAGCTTGCTATCCACATACCCTTGGGCCATGTATATCTTCTAAAATTACTGCACAAAATTGGATAACTTATTATTCAGACCTTTTTAATGACCCATCCTGCCTAGATCCAGGAAATAATGGACCAATGCCTGTTGACCTGCCAGATTGGCCACCTATCTCCTATGATGAAATTTTTGATCTTATTAACTCCTTTAAATCTGGCAAAGCCCCAGGACCTGACAGCCTACCTATTGAACTTTTTAAGAGTAATATTGATCGGTGGACACAAGCTCTTGCCCACTTATTCATGCTCACTGATAAATTTGGAGTTCTACCAGCCATTTGGCTCAACTCCATAATTGTGCCAATTTTTAAAAAAGGTAGCCCCAACAACACAGAGAACTATAGATCTATTAGCTTATTGTCTATCCTGGGGAAACTCTATGCTAAATACCTTATCTCAAAACTACTGAGTTGGATAAAATGTTGCAACCTTCCTGGAAGAGAACAGATTGGTTTTGTAACTAACCACTCTACTCTTGATCACTGCACAGTACTATCTTATTTAGTGGAGAAGTATCTCCGTTTCCCTAGAGGCAAACTCTATGCTGCTTTTATTGATCTTCAATAGGCCTTTGACTCTGTTGATAGGCAAATCTTATGGAATAAATTAGGTAGGATGACTATAGACCATCAACTATTCTTTCTAATATGCAAACTCCATCAATCGAATACTTGCCAAATTAGGTATGGTAAGAAGGGTTTTTTAACCCATAAAATACCTATATCAATGGGAGTTAAGCAGGGATGTGTATTAGCACCAGCCTTATTTAATCTTTTTCTATCTGACCTCCATACACATCTTGCAGCAATAGATGGACATGCCCCCAAATTGAACTCTATCTATACCCATCTTACTGTATGCAGACGATGCTGTAGTTCTTTCTACCACCAGAATAGGCCTCAAACGTGTCCTAACGATGTTTTCCTCCTATTGTAGACAGAACTCTCTCACAATTAATTATGGGAAAACAAAACTTTTAGTTTTCTCCAAAGTGTGGAAACGCACCTTGTGGGAAATCGATGGGAAGGAAATTGAGCAAGTCAGATCCTTTAGGTACTTGGGTGTACTTAACTTAAAATGGTCTTCCCATTGGAACCAATTGCTCCGACTGGCTAAAAACAGGATTTCGGATGTTACTTATTTTTATTATCGACAAGGAAATCAATTTGTTCTGGCCGCCCTTCGAATTTTCCAAGCTACGGTAGTCTCTCGTTTACTATATGGAATCCCTGTATAGATCCAGAGTTTTAACAAAGAGATATCTGAATCTGTAGATGCCACACAGAGGCTAAACAGATTTTTCAGCAAAGTTGGGGCACTCCCCAGGTTTGCAGAAAAACCTGAAGCCGGGAAAGTCACACTGGACCCAGTGATGGACGTGCAACACAGGAGCCCTGCCAGCAGCTGCTCCAAGTCAGCCACTGAGGTGGAGAACACTGACTGCTGCCTCCCCCTGCAAGTCTTCACCCCCTTGAGCCATAAAAAGGAAATTGGTAACAGTGGGGGGGATTCCACCCATGAGTATTGTGGATCCCCACTTGTATACTGATATTCACAAAACAAATCTAGCATACTTACCTTTCTTTTCTTTAGACCACATAGTATAAAAAGATTGGATTACATACTACCAATTTGCATATGGATAACTAGCAGATCCCTTACATAAAAACTGGGAAAAGTTGAGAATCAGTCCTTGCTGCATTCGATGGGACTTGCCATCTTTATGTTTATTCCAAGAACAGATTAAAAGGAGACCCCAAAAACCTTCACATTAAATAGCTGTCATAAAAGGAGAAGGCACAAGAACAGCCCTGCTGGATCAGACCAATAGTCCATCTAGTCCAGCATCCTGTTTCATACAGTGGCCAAACAGTTCCTCTGGAGGGCCAACTACAGGGCAAAGAGGCTGAGGCCTTCCCCTGATGTTGCCTCCTGGCTCTGGGATTCAGACTTTAGTGCCTCTAAATGTGAAGGCACTTCTTCACAATTGCGTTCTAGAAGCTGGCTTAAATCACTGAAGCCCAGGTTTAGATTAAAAATTAAGAAACTTTCCTAACCAGGACATTAATAAGACAACAGAATAGTGAGGTTGTTCATAATGAACTGTTCCTCACATCCTACTGCAAAGTACAAAACTATAAAATGTATTTTTCACAGCATTTTGTTAAAGTTTTTATTTTATAGCTCGTCAGAGAGCTACCCAAGTTTAGCTTCTCTCCGATACATGCAAATTTGACCATAAAACTCAGGTTTAAAAATACAAGGGAAAATGCCAATAATTTCTACATGCTCTACTGCATCTAGAAACAGTAAGAATATACATTGTAAATCCATGTTTCTAACCAAATTACAGCCTACGGTTTCTCACAGAAACATCAGTTCCCAAATTTCACAGAAGTTCTCCTTTGTGATAAAACTAAAAGACCAGTATAAAGCATTACTGAAACCTACACAGCACTTACAATTTTGTTGTGCTTTTAGACTAGGGGTCCCTAACATGGTGCCAGTGGGCATCACGGGCACTTTTCCTGGTGCCTGTCAAGTGTTTTTTGAGAGTGGGTGGAGTCAAGGTGGAACTTTTGCCCAGGAAAGCTTCTGATGGGCTATTTGAGATTTAATTGGCTGTGCAGATTTTTTAAAATGTTGGTTTGGCAGGTGCTGCCACCTCGGCATAAGGAGATCTTCATGGTGTGACTGAAGGTAAGCTGCAGCAGCCATTTTACGGGTGGTTCTCCCTTCTGTGGCAGCTATTTTGTGGTTGCAGCCACCATGCTTTGTCAGAATTGGACCTGCTCAAAACATATCATTGTTTGGGGAAAATATGGACAGTTGCTAGCTGTATTCAGTGTTATTTCTAATACCTTCGTCAACATTTTGCCTCATATCCCTTCCAGGTAAACACTCAGGTGTAGTACTAATACAAACATCACATTGCGGTCACTACCATTTTCATTCCAAATCCTGCCTTATAGTTTCCATGCAGTATCCAGGCCCATCACAAATTATATCATTCAATAACAGACTCTCCAGAGAACTGCCTTAGCTAATTAGATGAAGACAATAATCTTGAAATATTTAGTTTAAACAGTGCAACTTCTCATTTAAAGACTCAGTCAGGGGAAAAGGCAACGTTTAAAGGGTACACCTCTTTAATTTTTACATTTGACACCCAATAACAATAGAAATTTAGCTTTTAATTTAATACTCTGAAGTATCATGCACTGAAATTGTTACCAAACTACTTGCCAACATGATTAGCTGAAAAAGGAAAAATACTCATTTTATTCACTCAGATCTGTATCATTTAAAAAATCTTTTCTCATTTTAGAATCATCCAAGTAATAATCTATCTATCTAATAGAAAAGGTGCCCCCGTGCGTGCGGATACCTAAATCTGCACATCGGGGGCACCTGGGGGGGAGGGAGATTTTCGTGCACACTTGGGGCGGTCCCCAGGTGTGTACAAAAATCTGAAAAGTTGGAAAAAATATCGGGGGGATACTTAAATCCCCCCAAAAGTTAAAGAGCGTCCCCTGCGCCTGCGCAGGGAACGCTTTAGGAACGGCTTCGGCAGCGGCAACAGGGGGGGAGGCTTGGCCGGCTGGCGGCTGT